TAGAAACACCGTCTGTTCTCCTTCATATATTTTTTCTTTATACACGTTTCCGCTTCTTCACACTGATCGTTACGATTCTCGATTATTATCTATACGGGAAAATCGGTGACACCAAGAACGATCTATCTTTGATATCAAGTAATTAACGTTCTAAGCGCGATCGGAAACGATAATCAAAATCAAAATATTACAGTTCCTTGCTCGATGAAGGGAGAATTTATTTGAAAGTGGCACGCCTCGTTTATGGTATCACCGATTTATTTGTCACTCCTCCCGACTCGTTTAATTGATCTATCGGTTATCCGTTACGCATTAATTATACATAAAACAGCGATCTATCGTCCGATCGAGAAGCACGAGATAAAATATCGAAAGGTAATAAAACACAACAAGGGCAAGTATATAATATACGATAGAATTTTTGAACGACAGTCGATATGAAAAACAACAACCATACGTTCGACAGACGCTCGGTCGACTTCCCGTTTCTGTCCCGTAGAAAAACGCTGGTCAGAGTTTAATTAGATCATTACTGATATGTCGATCAGTCGTTTGACCACCGTGACCGATGCTCAAATATTTCACAAAACAATTATATCGCGAATAAAACATTTAACAAAACATAACTACGTTCTTTTATACAATACATATAATTCTCCGCTGAATCGATTAATTAAACTTGTGCTAATTCAATTACTTCGAGCAGCGTTCTTATTCATATCAACGTAACACCTAAGTCCTAATCGAATTTAATTATCAATGCTTCTGTCAAAAAGCACCAAAAGGATTCTTACTTCATTTTCACTCTCACAAATCACATTGGCTAATAATAATCGACTCTGTCGACGCAGCAACGTCAGAACACGCTGAAGCCTCGGGACGATTGACTCCCGGAGCGACCAGAAATGTGACCATCCACTGTCCAATTTCATTTCCTACTTCGGTCGAACTTCAAGACGAACGAATTAATCACGCTGGCTATTAAAGTAACACATCATAACCAGCGATTCTCCACGCGGGATTAGGAAGTCCTACGAAAAACGTTACAGCCTGCGTGTCGTCTATGTACAATACAACGTGTCCTTACAAGTGTATAAACGTTCTATTTGGTGTACGCTACACGTACATACCTCGTTACCACGTCCACACACACACACTCTCTCTCTCTTTCTCTTGGTTTCTCAAATAGTATGTAATTCTCAGCTCGACTAGCATCGTCACTCCTTACGGCCGTCTTACACAATTTCTCTTTATTCACCTCCGTTCCTTTCTTTTTATACACAGATACATGCACAGGCGACGAAAAGCGCGGATATTGCGCGCTCTCGTCGCGACGCTCTTCTGGTCGTCGAGGACCAGGACAGGCCGCTAATTAGAGGCCGTGGGTAATTAAGACGTTGACGATATCGGTGCCGCCGGAAATCTCCGGCAACCGGGTTAAGACTTCCTAAACGGGACCGAACGAAACCGTCCTGATGAATCCTCGTCCGTGACCTTACGTCGATTTCACGTGTGCAACTCTCCGATCAAATGATACGTCGACGCGAGTAAAAGACGAATTCGATACGTTTCCCGATTTAATTTATTTCTGTCATCTTGTTTGACGAGTGAAATGGGAGACAGGCGAGACTCGAAGACACGCGTTTAGGGGAGAGAAAAGTTCGGATGAAACTCAAGGAGAGGATGCTCGTAAAGACGATTGGACGCGGAAGAAGCGGAGGAAAAAGCGACGGGCGTTCGACGTCCATCAATACTCGCGACGCGCGTTCTACCGTGCGCTCGGGTTGCAGAAGAACCGTGTCTACGAACACGTCGAACATCCCGGGCAACAAAGTGTGAAGAAACTGGTTCCATTTCGCACGCCTAGCACTCCTATCGTCGCTGAACTTCGCTTCGACGTTGTTTAGGACTTTTACACAAGAAACACATTTTCCACGGCTCTATGAATATTGACGACCCCAATAAATTCCTCTGGAAAAACTGACGCTCTGTGACACGATGGAGCGATGAATCACTCATAATCCGACACTGATATCCACTCACATTCATAAGTCGCGAAAAACCAAGAAGCGTATTATGATATATGCACGTAAATATTTTTTTTTTTAATTTATCAGACTTAGTATATCTCATAATTAAGATCAGAATATGTATCATAATTAATCTGATTTATGGACATATGAATTCGTTTTAAAAACTGCCCGATAAGTTATGAACAGTGATGCATATCAGATAAGCGGAATCGTTGAATCTTCGAAATCGGAAACAGGAAAGATGCTACAGGCTTGTTTCCTTGGAATAATGCTTGCTCGTCTGATGGCACACCATCGACCAGGATCGTTTCCTGTTTCACCGAGTCGCTCGTTCCGTTTCATGCATCGGTGATGCATCTTTATTTCCTCCATCCCCTCGCGTCCCGCCGTTGTACACGGTGACACGACCTCGCGGCCATTCCTCCATCGCGTTTTCCTTTATTCATCGTCTTTTTATCGCCGGCTGTTTTAGCGAGTATTCAAAAATCGCGTGACCACCTCGCGTTTCCTTCAACGATAAATCACGCGCCGCGCACCGTAGCTCGGTGCGCCTTTATTGATTTCGAGATACGCGTTAAGACGGTCTGTTATCCGCGGGATTCCAACCCCTTTCCTCGAGGATTTGTAAAATCGATGAGAGCAGAGAATTATAATGGTATACGTGCATTCGTTAAACATGGTAACATTCATTCATAGATCATATTATTACCGATTTGTTTTTCTGGAGTATATTATTATAATTCATAGCAATCGACGGTATCTTTGAAGCAGCAGTTCTCTTAGCAATTTCCGGGGTGTCGACAATTCTCGTTTAGCCGGGTTCTCGATTTTCTACGAAGCGGGGTATGGTTCTGATTCCACCGTCGTTGTTCCGGCTAACGAACGCGTGCATACATCGTTTCGCCGCAAACCACGATTTCCGGTCTCGAGTTGTTGCCCTGTGTCGTCTCTCTCTCCCGGCTTAATATCGATCCATGGCAGCGCAATAAATAACGAGTCAAATTGCCTCGTACGACTTCCCGTGCGCCAGATTCACGTGCGCCCCATCCGCGCTCCCGGAAAACAAAAAGCTGCATCGTTCTCGGGAAAAGCTGCGCTCTCTTCCATTCTCTACTTCCTCTACTTCTTCCCTCCTCTAGTTCCCCCGAACACTCCCCTATTCTATTTTCCGAATGTATCGTCCGCTCTTCCAGATTTACTCTTCTATACTCGACAGAAATATTCTTCTTATTTCTCCGCGCTTAAAATCTTTCGAACCGATACTCGTTATTAAACCGTGGATTTTATGCTTGATACAAAAGTTCGATACGCAGAAAATATAAAGAATGCACGTAACGCGTAAGTATATATGAGGAAATCTCAATTTACGTTTCACAAAATTGCATAAAAATCCGCGGTCTACTTATTTTCTGAATCTGAATTTTCCTCTAACGAAGGAAATCGATGGATTATTTTCTTCATTAGAAAGGGAAAGTATGGAATTCGTGCGGAGAAGGGTCGACCACGAGAACATCGAACGAAGTCAGAAGTTTTCGCTCCTCGCCGCGTCCGAGGGTCGGGAAACGGACTAACTTTTCCAGCGAACATGCTTCTAATTAGACCGAGCAATTCTTATCCGATTAACAACCACCGATGGTGACTTTCCTCTTCAATCGATGCACGAGCCATCGCAAAAGAAATACGTAGATTAAGACTGGAATTTATAATCGTTTCTCAGTTTTCAGTTCTCAACTGCTTATTGCAATTTTATTGAAATGACTAAACCTACCACAATGATTGTAGACAGTTCAATGAAATTTCAAAAATCCTAATCAATAATGAAATAAAACATATATCGTTTGATTTTCATTAATCATGTATCACGAAATACATAGATATGCAATAAGCAGTTGAGAACTGAGAAACGACTATAAATTCGGGCCTAAACAAATCTCTAATAATTATTATCGCTAATAGCTGCTGACTCTCGTCATCGGCGATCTGCATATTTCGAGGAATCAGTGGCGTCCGATAAGGACTGCTCGCACCGGAAGTTGCACACGTCGAAGGGACAGTTAAGTATAAAGTATCTACTAGTAAGGAACACGAGCACCTTGCGCTTTGAGCTCTACCCTCCAAATTAACGTCGAACCTATTCGTCGTTCACAAAATTCCGATAGACTGTATGCGAACTCGTGAACGTTTGATGATCATTCAACAATGATTCCAAGGAATAATTTATATAAATGTAACAATAAAAAACATCGATTGCAAAAAGATTACGTACCCTTTCCTGAAGATATGTCTCCGATCAAAAGCTCAAAACGATCGGTCCTGGTTCTCGATTCTCTCCCACAGCAGAAATACGCATTCGCCTGTTCACGCGTGCACGTGGTTGAACAGGAAACCAGGGAAGGATAGGGGTCGTTATCACACATGTACATTTTTTTTTCTCCTCTCTTACAAAAAAGGTTCCGTCCATCGGGAAGAAGCCGCGACAATCTATTTGCGCGGTTATTTTTCTTTTGTTCTCTCCTTACACGGTATAAAGGTGCAAAAAATTGGCGAGGCACGGTCGTCGCCGGGACGCCTAGGTCCACGATCTCACCTCGAGCGCTACGAATCGCGGACTACCATACACCTACGTCTTCGCTAACGCGATCGTCTCACAGTAAACTAACGCGGTTCCTCGCGTGGCAAAAATTCTCCTTTTTTATTCACGTATACGACAGTGATAATTAAAATCCTGATACGAACGAAACGACCAAATGATTGATAAAAGACAATCAGTTTTTAATTTAATTTCAATACTTTAAGTTTTTCTTCAATTTCAATACTTGTATTAAGGGAGTTTACTTGATAATTTAATTAACGATAAGATTTAGTTAAAATTTTACATGGGCTTTCGTTTGCATATGATATGTAAAATTCGCAAATCTTTAAAACGTTATATCTCGATTATAAAACAATGAAGAGCCTTGTTACCCTTTCCTGAAGATATGTCTCCGATCAAAAGCTCAAAACGATCGGTCCTGGTTCTCGATTCTCTCCCACAGCAGAAATACGCATTCGCCTGTTCACGCGTGCACGTGGTTGAACAGGAAACCAGGGAAGGATAGGGGTCGTTATCACACATGTACATTTTTTTTTCTCCTCTCTTACAAAAAAGGTTCCGTCCATCGGGAAGAAGCCGCGACAATCTATTTGCGCGGTTATTTTTCTTTTGTTCTCTCCTTACACGGTATAAAGGTGCAAAAAATTGGCGAGGCACGGTCGTCGCCGGGACGCCTAGGTCCACGATCTCACCTCGAGCGCTACGAATCGCGGACTACCATACACCTACGTCTTCGCTAACGCGATCGTCTCACAGTAAACTAACGCGGTTCCTCGCGTGGCAAAAATTCTCCTTTTTTATTCACGTATACGACAGTGATAATTAAAATCCTGATACGAACGAAACGACCAAATGATTGATAAAAGACAATCAGTTTTTAATTTAATTTCAATACTTTAAGTTTTTCTTCAATTTCAATACTTGTATTAAGGGAGTTTACTTGATAATTTAATTAACGATAAGATTTAGTTAAAATTTTACATGGGCTTTCGTTTGCATATGATATGTAAAATTCGCAAATCTTTAAAACGTTATATCTCGATTATAAAACAATGAAGAGCCTTGAAATTTTTACATAAACCTTTTCATATACAAACGAAAGTTCATGTAAAATTTTAACTAAATGTTACCGTTAATTTAATTACCAAGTAAACTCCCTTAAAAATGCCGAAGACACTAAGAAATTCTCGATGCCAGCAGAAATACAATCTGTTGCCAGCCACGATGATTTTTAATTAATCGTTCAAGCCTCACGATCATCGTTATTAATATCCATCTCGATGACCCGGACCACCGCGTCAGCATTGTATTAATAGTCGATGCAATGGCATTCGTTATCGAAGAACGGAGTCGCCCCCCCTGTTATCACGAAACTCCTGATCTTTTTCTCGCGAACAAAACACGTAATTCCGTCGCCTGGTGTCGCGTCCCATTCTTACGTTTTTCAGTCGTTATCAATCGCGAGAAACGCGGGAGCTAAGCGGGACCGGGGCTCGTTACCGATAACGAGCCGAGGCCGAGAGCGAAACTCGTTAGAAAAGTTTCCCCGATGGGAAACGTTCCGCGATGGAAAATTTGCCAAAATAGAGCTTCTCGGGTCGTTTTGCGGGTGAAGAAGCACTTGTTTCGTTGTCGCATTCCACAATCCTCCTACTATTCGATACGTCATTGTAGCAAAATTTTTCTGACCGCGATCCCGCGTCTGCGGGAACCGAGTCCAGCTTCGATCTCGTCTTAAATAGTCTTAATCTCGTTTCAAATCCATCGTTTTAAATCTCTTATTCTCTCTTGTCCAAAACTGTCTTCGTATAAGAAAAATTCCAAGGTAGTCAAAAAATCTTATCGATCATTTTGCAAATCGTTGGAAGGACACAAAACTGTCTTCCAACTCGAAAAATCGTCAGATCGAGGAGAGACGCACGATTCTCCAAGATCGCGTTCAGAAGCATCGTCCGCGTCGAAAGAACGCGGGCAAGCTTCGCCCGTGGGGTTCGAGCGACGAGAACGAGGGTGTGGATCGTTCACCGACGAGAACGATCAACTGTCCGCGACACGAGAGGATCGCGGCACGTGTGCGTGTACACGTTTTCACTCAAAGACCTCGCCGTCGTCGCCATTCCAGGATGACGAGGAAGAGGATGAAGACGCCGTGGAAGGCGTGGCCGATTCCAAAGGAGAGACTGTCCGCGGCTCGCAACATCAAAAGACACACGTGCAGTCCTCCGAGGACCTGGCCTACCTGGCCCGCTTCCTGTTCAGCTTCGCGAGCTTGCGACGTTTCAGTATCAACTGATACAGGGTGTCCAGACCTTCGTGGAGGCCCTCGCCGGTGATGGCGCACGCCGGTTGCACCCTGATGCAAGCGCTGCCCGGCATACCGGCCAGCTCCAGGACCCCCAGATGCTTCTCCAGTTCGCCCACCTCTTTGGCACCTGCGGGCATCACGTCGAACGGCTCGGTCAGTCCAAACGATAGGGACTGGACTCTGAAGAAAGCTTCATGGATGCTCGATGAGGACTTCGTAATGACAGGATTCTTGATTAGGAATTTTCGTGATCTTCTAATGATCCTTTAATGAAGGTTTTAGGATGGTTCCTTGGTTTCAGTGTTTCTTGATTCGGAATTATGATATTGCGGAATTAATGTTTCGGGAGGTGGTTTCAAATGGATCCTTGAATGCTTCTCGATTTGGTTCTCGTGGTACGAGGCAAGATTTCATGAATGATAAGCAGGATACTCTTTATATCCGTAGGACCGGTGTGGCAAATTGTAGAATTAAACGGATGACACGTGTTACACGATATTTTCACTCAGCGCTCATTAGCTACGTAATACATAAGAGGCTGCATAAACGGATAACACGGAAGCATGTAACGATAATCTCGCTAATGACGCAACAACGTTTTATCAGATTCTCGTCGAGGGGCAACGTGCGTTAAAGAAATTCAAGCGGTTCTAATCCGTGATCTGAACATGCTCCACTATAAATTGCGGTCAAGTGCGCGCATAGTCTTCGCGGGGAAGCCGTACGGTTTAAAAACCGACGCACTCGGCCACTCGTTCCTACGCTCTTAAGCTAAGTCTTCGGAAGCAAGATCGCGCTTTTTAAACCGCTTAAGGTAGCTCGATAGCATTTGCAAAATATAAACGATTTTAATACAAGTTGAGCTAAATAATAAAGTTTCGAACTTTGATTTTCCGTAAAGAAAAATATAAGTTTCCATGGAAAAGAACGAAATAATAATGATCAAAGCCAATGAATAATACTTTTTTCACTTCATATTCTTATTTTAAAATAAGCCTCTTGTAGGGCCTTCTCTTGATAAGTTACCTAAATAGCGAGTTACCATAACAGACTTAATTTTTCAATGATATCTTTTATTCGTGAACAAATCCCTGATGTATCGGTACTTTTACTATACTTGACGTTACGTGCTCTTAAGAAAGATCGTGTGCCTTTGAATATTAATTTTAAAGCAAGCACGAGACGAGGCCCGTTGAACTTCGTGTCACGGAACGCGAAATCTATGTCGTGCAAAAGCACAAAGAAGCACGGTAACAGGTAGAATACGCGTACATATGGTGGAATCGTTACCTGGCAGATCCTGTTTGTTGGCCAAGATCAAGATGGGCACGCCGGCGTTGTCCGGGCTCCTCGCCGTCCTGGTCAGCTCCATTTTCGCCTCTTCGAGTCTCTCAGCGTCGCAGGAATCGACCACGAATATGATACCGTCCGTGCATCGGGTGTACGACTTCCATAACGGCCGTAATTTCTCCTGACCGCCCACGTCCCACACGAGAAAATTCACACCTGCGACAGACCACGAGCGGGAACCCATTTACTCCCGATCGTTTTCCGTAGAAACGGATGGGAATCGATACGACTGCCGTTTTGCTCGTACTACACATTTCCCAGGGTTTTTACTCTAATTTATTTGCTTGAGGCACAGAGTTTAGTTTCTCACGTCTGAATTTGTATCGTCTAAAATCATCTATCTTTATCTCATTCACTTTTATAAACGTGAAAATTCGTAACGTAAAGAACTCATAATATTTAATACGATCGTCTCGTCATTTAGAAATGCGTAACAGCAACTAATGTGATATTCCCCGGTAAATTATAGTACCGCGTGAAAAAGAATGTTTTACATGCATCAAGCTGATAATCTTTTCGAGGCCCAGTTAATACAAAATGCGAATGGGTAAAAAAGACCTACTCCGTTGAAGCAGCAATTTTCACTTCCTGGCGAAATTTATGCTAGAAGGTTTCTGGGACGATCAGATCTACCGACGTTATTTATTCTACTTATCCCGCCAGGACGTATACGTGCGCGATAACTGTAATAACTGTTCGCGTTAAACGTTATCCTGGCCGCGTAATCGTTACGTGTCCAGTTACATACGATATTTGCATGTTCCGAACAGCCACGGTGGCTATGACGTAGCGTGGCTAGCAGTCATTTCGTGCAATAATTTCATTCCCGATTACCGTAAAACTCGCACCGTCATCGTTTCACCTCGCGGCTTCGATTTCGGCTTTTTCACTAAATGAAATGTAATAGAATTTGTGGTACGAACGAAATTGTCCAGCCAATTTAATATCTTTGTACGGAACAAAGTGAGAGTTTATCGGTTTCTCAAATCAAGTGCTTTATCGATAAATATATTTGTTTCCAAAACGAAATATTTTATCAATTTTTAAAGTAAGACTCTTCCTCATCCGCGATTAGGTATGGATTACTTCTGGTGAGGTAATATACTTTTTAATTGAGGAGTGTGAAATGTTTTCCTTCATCGTATCAGATAATGGAATTTATCGAGCGACGAAAGGCATCAAGATCTTCATAATTATCTTTTAGAACGAAATACTTTATAAAAAAATAAGTTCACTCTCTGCTCTAATAATTAAAATTGAAACGTGCTTTATAAAATTAATGAAAGAACTCTGAATAGACGGAACGTATTGAACACACTGAATAACTGAAATGTACATGGAACCCGACCATGCCGTAGCGTTTGTCGTAGATCAATGATGAGTACGATAGGAAATTCGTTTTACCTTTCGCTTTCCCGATGCCACCGCGGATCCTCTCGCAATTGAAGCCAATGGTGGGCACGGTGTTCAGATACTGATCGAACTTGAGCCGATACAGCGCGGTGGTCTTCCCGGCGCTGTCCAGGCCGAGCATGGCCACATGGAGCGGCGTTCCCGTAGGAAGTGCCTCTAGGAAGCCGCCGCTCGTGCCGCTCCTGCCCATCCCGGCACCCATTCCTCTCCCCCGAGGCTTCGGCCTCGGCCTGTGAGACCTCTTCCTTTTTCTACTCCACCTTCCTCGTCAGCTTCCCTCCTCTATCTGGCATTTAGCCTCTTTCCCTTCGGGGAAAACTTTTCACGGAAACCGATATCTCTGTCCACCGTCAATTTTATCTTCACAATTTCTTACTATCCACCGTATCAATCAATTTCTCCTCTCTTCCCCTCGTAGGCTTCCGACCCGAAAAATGTTGTCCCCTTCTACTCCATCCCGGGTCTACCTGACGTCCAGGACCCACCGTCGGTATTCCCTTCCTCCCCGGTTTTTACAGTTCCCCGCTCGGTTTATTCCATTCCTGCTGTTGTACCTGCCGTCTAGTTTTCGATGTTTCTCTCATGGAACTCCCCGGCTCGTTCTTCTCGTTTTTCCCTCGTCTCTCCCCGTTGCGTCGGTCTGGGCCGCGGCAGCCTTCTTCTTCTTTCGTCTGTCCGTGGGCCTAAGTCGACGAACCGAACGGATGAGAGAGAAAGAGGAGGGTTCTCCTCCGCTTTCGATGCTCGTCCCCGCCGTAAAAGGACTCGCTTCGAGGCCACGATCACTACCGCGCCGGCTGAAAATGAAAGGAGAAACGGCATCACCTTCTGCCTCCTGGCGATTCACATTTCTCTACGTTTGCTCCGGATTTAAACGGAGCACACGTAATAATGACGATTCATCATAGTTTCATTCTCTAAAACTGTACTGGCTCGTTCAATAAAAAAACGAAGACCAGGATGTAATTAATCTGGGTTGTAAACAAACAGTATTTTTTAACTGATGTTGTAAATTGTTCAATCTTACATGTACATAATCTACTAATTGATTCATAAGTCGTTTTATAACGGCCCCTGTTAGATCTCACGCACGACCACCATCAGACGCTGAACAAGATTTCTACGGCGTTCGCGAAGGTCCAGACAAGATAACGAGACTGGTAACTGGATTCGATGAATGATCGTTTCTCGGCAATTAAATGTCCCTGAACCCGATTAATGCTACACGCAATTTGCTTCGAAACTGTGTTTACACGCTGTATGTTTCCTATTTCTATTTAAGAATATTTATGTATGGATACAACCAGCTGGCTGGAGGGTCATCGTCCTAAATGGCGCACAAAGAGAATTCTTTCTCCAGACTCTTTGGACCCTGGGGGGCGAGCAAACGAAATGGCCCAGCGAGCTATCCTTAAACCAGTCATAAACCAATTCTAAATCCTACGATTTACAATGGTCGTCATGGATTTCCCAACAATAACCCGATCGATCGCTTCAGAGTTTTATAACTTGAAGTCGAGAGACGTGTTAATGGCCTTTCTGGGTTTAAATACACTTTTACCTAATTCCACGCATTATATCGCGGCGTTTTGAGCTCGACTGCGAACCGCGAAGCTTACTTATACACCTGTTTTCCAGCACGGGCGCGTAAACACCGGGAACGGACGTCTTAAATCGGTCACGCTGCCTCGTAAAGCGATTTTATATCGGTGAGCCGCGATCGCTCCTCGATATCCGCGATATCCCGACTCGAGTGCGAGTCATTGAAAAGTTTCGCAGACGAACGTGCCGTCGAATATTTTTAAACCCGTCAAAAAACTAAAACTGAAGTATTCAACTTTTTCTCGTTAGTTCACATGGAAAAGTGCGAAAGCACTTGGGACTTGGGATAGTTTCATCCTCGTTTCAGAATTTCTGAAAAGCCCGCGGTAGTCGTAGATTAATTCTTTCGATGTTTGATACACGATGCGGTAGAGGAAGACAGAATCACGTTTGGAACGTCGGTATAATTAATTTCCTGTGAAGAACAAACGGGAACAAGCGTTATTTAACGATTATGCAACGCTGCGCTCGGTGATACGAGGGATTTGACCGTGCAACGTTTTCTATAAATATTCAGAGTGCTCAGCGTGCCATCGGGTTTAATTTATGCGACCTCGAATGCAAGCAACGCGGCACGCCTGGTCTAAGAAGACAGGTACGCTTAGTATGCACGTGCGAAAGTAGGTAAATCAAATTTAAACCGCGAATACAGACCTGGCACACAAGTAAACTGATCAACCAATTCTTTTATCTCCCGTTTTATGAGGCCGTAACGCCCCGTTACAATTTCCATGTCACATATCACAGCAGATTATGGAAAGCAGCACTCACTACAGTAAGTAGAAGATGTACTAATGTATTGTAATAATGGCTAAATTCTGATTAATAAATGAATGAAAACGAATCTTGGCATTTTTATTTTACGATCATTAACTAAATATGATCGAAAACAGCGATCATGTATTATTTTATTCGGTGAAACTACCGATCTTTTATTTGGGTCCTGATTAGGATTGTGGTTTCGATCTCGAGATTCTGATTCACATCTTAATTCTGGTTCGGATTTTAATTTTGATTCTCATCAGAATTATGGTTTCGATTTCGATGTTGATCTTGATCTTGATTTTAATTTTGATCTCGTTTTCTATTACCATTTGGATTTTGATTTGGATCTTGATTTCAATTTTGGTTCTGAGGCTCGTAAATACATCTGCCTTTTATATTGACGATAACTTTTCTGTTTCAGTTCACCCATATGTGCAGCAATAATGTATGAAGAAACAGAAGGAAGGAAGGAAGGAAGGAAGGAAAGCGAACTACATAGAATAAGAACACAGAATAAGAATCTCTGTATCATATATATTGTAACCTAACGTATAAACCAATACCAATATGTTAAATTCTGATTAATAAATAAATGGAAACAGATCTTGATATAATTATTTCACGATCCTTAACAAAATGGTCTCCAATATTACTTCGATAATGTTTAAGTTTAATCGAACACGATTCATGAACAAGGGACACTCGAATCAGCACTAATTTTTCACATCGGTATGGCAGTCTACGTAGGACACAAGAGTCCATAAGGTGAAAGGTCTGCTCGTATATCTCGTCTGTGCAGAGAGACCCGAGAAGGAAGAACACGGTACGCGAGCCAGAGAAATCTGGCGTTCTGGGTCATCGTTCGCAGCCTCCCTATGTCGCCTCATCGATTCCTTAACCCTGTACATACTTGAAATAAACGTTCTTTCACAAATATGGCATTGATTTTAGATTTTCTGAATTTATTCATTCCTCATTTAGTCTGATCTATCATACGAAAAAGCGAGAACTATGAAGCGAATTCACTGAAGAACTGGAGCAGACTATAACCCTGGTGACCCCGGAACGCGCACGAATACCTGGCCCGATAATATCTGTCTCTAATTAGATTATAAATAATGAAGTTTAAACGAACTGAATTCCGGCGAACAACATTGATGGGAATTTTATTACCACGCCAAGGAGAAACACGATGGGTATGATAGTAGCGTGGAATTTCCAAGTGCGAAACGCAATGGTATCATTAAGCCGAATGGAATCCGCTAATAATGGCCGCGAAATGGGTTAAACCATTAGGCCGAACGGGAACCACGTTACTCAGTCCCTGATAACCGAGGGTCCGTAAAAGGATCGTTCAAACGCGTACCAAATCCATGCCGTGCCTATCACCATGGCTCGTGCGAGTGCCGGTCAAATGGAAACGTTGGAATTCTATTTATGGCGAGGTTTATGCCAAATAAATTCGATCAGTGTTACACCGTTAGTTCCGCGAGCTTTCAACTTATTACCAGCTACAAACCGATTCTCAATGCACATATTCTGATCGCCATTATTTCTTCGTAATATGCAGCGTTTCATAAAAGAATTAATGTGACACAATGCGTGATATATTCGAATGATAATTTCAGTAACTACGGAGAATTTATTCGACACAAAAAGAGAATTACATTCGTGATTTGATAAACGTTTCTAACGTTATCTTCTCAATGCGAAACAAGATTCAATCTGATGATACTTGAAACGATTTGCCTAGGAAAAAGGGGGTAACGGAATCTTGCCTAGCATGAGTAAAATAATGCGTTGTCAGAAAAATGACGTAGAATCACGTCTCCAGGGTTCTATGGATTTTTCAGCGTGCTCGAGAGTGCGAAAACCTCTGAAGGGTGAAAACTAGTAAAAAAAAGAAGTGCCAGGAGGGAGAGAAGGGAGTCGAATGGAAATTAGTGGCGGTTCGCCAAAGGGTGTGTCTCTTTCAACCCTCATTTCAGAATCGTCGCTGTTTACACGCCTGCTTCGGTCCCTTTCACCCTCGGCACGAGTCTCGTTAACGTTACATTGAACCCTCCGCGCAGCTTTCCTCCTTCCTACTGTCCCTTGCTACTCCCTCCGCGGCTTGTAATTATATCGAACGTTTGTTAACGACACTGTTCATAATCGCGGATCAACGTCCTGCCCGATGACTGCAAATTGAAGGGCCACCGAAATTTTCGGAATCGTTTTTCTCGTCGGCCAATTTATACGCGCGTGAATTATTCATGTTACGGGCCTTAGTGCGCGGCAGTATTATTTTCACATTTATCGTGGACACTCGGAAATAGGAATTAAGTCTCCTCGTCTCGGAATTTAATTAATCGGAAAATAGAATTTTCAATATGAAACCCCGGTGTGAGAGAAATGAAATTTCCACGAAATATAAAGACTGTTCATTGAAATGTTGAAATATAAGAATCTACAGGATATCAAAAGCTTTAATATTGCAATATTTAAAGTACAGTTTTTTAGCTGATAACATTAACGTTTTACTTTCGATGAAAGGCGATCTAGTTTTTTTTTTTTAATTTAATTTATTCAATTCACGGATAGATAGCATATATGTGATAGAAGCATATAAATACAAAAAAAGAAAAAAATACAAAAATATAACAATACTAGCTTAAAAAAAAATAAGAAAACAATGAAAGTACAGAATTGTCACTACAAGATTAGTGAAAACTAAGCCACGAAATTACATCAGGAGCGCCTAGCGAAGGGTAAGAAGTGTTATGAATATAAATTTCGCATAGAGGTTTCATTTCCTCTGCGGACATTCGAAACGTTTCATTTAATTTCCCGATCCGCGGAACAGCTCGTTTGACATTGGAACTCCATTAAGCGTAACAGCCCGTTTATCCTGTTTCCGACTCTTTATAAGTGACGCATGTTTCGCTAACAATTTTTATTTTATGAAATATTTTAATCACCGCTGTATCGTTTAACAAACGAAGGATTTTATTTAATCACCGGAGGGTGGGCGATTAATCGGTAAAGAGATGCACGGTAGAAAAAGGAAGGAGAACAGGAAAGCGGAACGTATTGGCAGCAGTACATCTATCTGTGAACTGTATCTGGTGCATGTACCGTGCATCTGCATTGGCTCGCATCCCGACCTACTTTTATCTCCTTTTTTCCGAACCAGTCGGCCGCACCTGCCCAGTCAGGGAACATTTGAAAAACACGCGTTCCTCCGGGTTCTCTCATTTATTTTTTTCTTCTCTCAACGAACAGGGTGTTCCTCACCCATCGCCCGTCACCATTCTCCGACTCTTTGCCGCGACACGAATTTTCAACAAACGCAGAGCATATTCAATTATTATAATTTACTGATCTTTACAATTATTTTCCTCACTGCAATAGATCCAAACAGAATTGTATTCGTCGCGTCTCTCTCAGT